ATGCTCAGGTGAAGTGCTGCAGTAATACTATAAATCTGCGGAAGCGTTTGATATCACGCATGAGGCGCCATGATTTCCGCTAGGGCTGCATGATAAATCGCGTGCGATATTTAACGCGCATCTTATCAGTAAAGCCGGTTCTGTAATCAGCGGTAAATCTCCATCACCTGCGGGCTTTCACATTGAGCAGCATTAACTACACAGATATATATAATACCGCATGCGATTTATCGTGCAGCCCTAATTTCCGTAATGAATGAATGGCGGATGGCGCACTGTTTTGTTTACTACACGCATACTAAAGCGCGGATGACGCTCGCGGTGTTTTCAGCTTCTGCCGTCTCACTATATGATGATATGAACACGAATCATCTCCAGCTGCTCTGAGAGTCACTTCATTAGCATTTACCCTTTCATTTGAGAAAACTTCCGTCATATCACATACACAGCAGCTGCAAGCTCTTCACGGCAACCCGTCAAAATAAAAGTTTAGTTTAACGTTAAACTGTCAGAATGTATTACTATTTAGCAGTCTGAAGACTCAATGCTACTACTGCTAATAAATATGAATAAATCTTTATTTTTAAAGGAATAATCACTTCTGTTTTCTTTTTAATTTTAACAGTAAACCTTTGTTGTGCAGCACTTTGTTTGCCAAAAAATAAAAGGGTTTAGGGTGATTAGGATAAATTAAATTAATGTTTTATGCCTTCATCTGATTACCAGAACAATTAAGAACATTTATTTTTATTAATTCACTGTTCATTTTTTAGAAATATCAAGAGCATTTTTATTAAAACTATATTCACTGAATGTAATCAAAAAATGTAATGTAATGTTTATTATACATGATTCTGGTTTGCATCAGTCATTTAATCAAATATGATCTCAACCTAAATCAGGATCAGGTTTTTAACAGACTTGAGATTTAAAAATCTAATTTAATTTAGGTGCCAAATTTGGGTTGATCTAGTGTTTTATATAAAAAAAAAATCTAAGGAAAAATTTGGGTCACATTTTATTTAGGTTGCACAGAACACTGTTTAGAGTCTCAGCCTCAGAGGAGACGACAGAGCAGTGCATTTATTGATTTATTTACTGTATATTGCAGCTGCCACACAGATCTAAAATAAACATGAGATTTATTTCTCAGCTGTTTACCTTCACAGATATAACCCACTGTTTTTGTAACTCACTGGGATCTGGATCTTTTCTGAAAGATCATAATTCTGGTTTTCTTCAGGTTGACTGTCAGAGCCCAGGTCTGTCTCTCTCTCTCTCTCTCTCTCTGCCTCTCTCTGCCTCTCTCTCGCTGTGTGGGCGAACAGGACACAAAAGCCGGTTTCAGGACAAGGTTTACATTCGTCCGGTGTTTGCGCTTCTCGCTGGACGTGATCCGTCTTCCAGAAATAGTTCACTCAGTGTCTCTGAAGGGTTTGGATCATCAATCCCATGATGCCCTGCAGGTCTCGACCTCTCGCTCTGACCAATCACACGGCAGCGCTCACGTTTAGTTACTGCTGCGTCGTTTAGGATAAATCTGCAATCTTTTTAATTTTTTTTAGATTTTATTTTATTGATATATTTCATTTAATTTATTTATTATTATTTTTTCTTGCTTATAAAATATTGCTTTAGTTTTTAACATTTTAATCAACACATTTCAATTAATTCATTTATTTTATTGCTAATAAAATAATTTGTTTTGTTTTATTTTAAATATTTAATTGATATAATTAATTTTTTTTATTGTTTTTAAAACAATATTTTGTTATTTTAAACTTGCAATTATTTCATTATTTTATTGCTTATTTTTTTTGTTTATTTGAAATATTAAATTAAATGATACATTGAATGTCTATATTTTTAATGCTATAAAATAATGTTACACACCGGTATTCTGTAGTGTGTTTCAGCATAAATGTGTGTTGTGCCAGCATTATTGTGCATCTTTATGATCGTCCTCTCGCTGCTCGTGATTCGTCCGATACGCCGCTTTCCAGAAATAGTGTCTGAGTCATTGGCCACAGGTTTTGACCTCTGCTTTCACCGCAACATTACTTCTTTTTAATTGATGCATTAATTTATAAAATAGCATTATATGAACCAGGGTTTTGTACTGTGTCTAGACACACACTTCGATTACAGAGTCACAAACTTATTTAAAACTGCTGTCAAATAAAACAGCTCATGTATTATGTTGTTTGATCTCTGGAGGTTGATGGTCAACATTTTCTGAATATAAAGGTCAAGAATTTACTTGGACTTTGTTATTTTGAAAATTAATTATGGAAAGTAATTTTATAGCCATATAAATATGACAATACTGTGTGAAGTAAGTGTTGTATTATGTATATGCTGATGGTGTGTGTGTGTGTGTGTGTGTGTGCGCTCAGATGGAAGGTGTGTGTCTCCATGTTCTCGGCCTCACACTCCTCTGAATGGCCACACACACGACTCCCCCGGCTGGAGCCGCCAGCTCCGCGTCAGAGATGGAGACCAGTTCTACCTGCTGGATCAAGAGGAGGTGATCTCACACACACACTCCCTCACTCACTCACTCACTCACACACACGCTCACACACACGCTCACACACACACGCTCACTCACACACACAC